TCATCTGCTGAAGTCACCCTTAAGTGAGCATTTACATGGGACACAAATATCTTTACAATTGTTGCCCACAGGGAGGTCTGTCCACATGCCTCTATCTCCAATTCCTTTGTCACTAAATTTCCAATTAAGTTCCTTCTGACTCTGTTACCAATCAGCCAAACCACATTTTTGCAACAAAAAATATGGGAAAATATGTCATGACTTTTCTGATAAGCCAAAAGAAAAAAGAGCAGCCAACCAAATTTGGGGGCATTTCTCACCAAATAGAGAATAGTTGTTCTCTACCAAATGAATCCGAACCCAATTTCAGTCATTGATGCTGTGTGATTTGCTATTAAAGTGTAACAGATTACCACAAATTTAGTGGCTAGAACAAACAAACACGCATTTATTGCTTCACAGTTTTATGGGAGGTCAGGTGTCTGGGCAAGGCCTAGCTGAGTTCTCTTCTTCAGGGTCTCAGCAAGCTGCAATGAAAGTTTGGAATACACTGCATTCTCATCTGCAGCCTGACTGGAGAAGAATCCACTTCCAAGTTCCCTCAGGCTGTTGGCAGAATTCATTTTCTTGCATCCTTGTCCATAAGCACTTCATAACAGGGCTACTCACTTCTGAAAACCACTAAGAGTCTCTCACTAAGGGGAGGCCCAGCCACTCTTTTCAAAGCTTTACCTGGTTACATCAAGCCCAGAAAGGACAATCTCCCGTGTGATGAAATCAAAATGAATTAACCTTGGGATATTAATTATCTGTAAAGTTTCTTCATGGTTGCCATATCTGAATGCTAGAAGTGAGTCACAAGTCCTGCCCACACTAAAGGGAAGGAACTTATACAGGTTGTGAACATAGGGGAGCAATAATGAAGGTGTCCACTGTAGGGTCTGTAAACCAAAGCACAGCTGCCACAAAATGAATGATATATTGGTAGTGCACAAACCACAACCAGAACCAACTTGGACAAGACTCAGAGACAATTACAAACACAGGTTATAGAAGAAAAGAGAAAGACAGAGGGGAAACAACAGTGGTAGTTCAGTCTGGTTCCATATCTCTGACTTTCCATCTTTGGTCAGATTCCTTATACTTGAAGAGCACCGTTTAGAATTTCCATCAGTGAAGTCTTGCTAAGATTTTTTTAGCCTACAAATGTCGATTTTGCCCTCATGTTAGAATTTTTATTTATTTTTTTTAATTTTTAAATTACCTTGAATGAAGTATTATTTACATATAGTAATACGTTCTCACTTTGGTATATAATTTGATGAGATTTAACAATGTATATACACTTGAAATATTAACCATAGTCAAGATTATTTTATATCTTATCATCCCAAAAGGTATTTTTGCTGTTTTGCAGTTAGATTCCATACAACCACTTTTGTGCTTTCTTTGTTTTCATTTTGGGATTTACTATAAATGAAATAATACTTTTTCTTAGAGTATTTAGGGTTTTTTGTGTGTATTTTTCTCAATCCTCATGATTTTTTGAGGCTAATTTATAGTGTTGTATAAGTGAGTAGTTTCTTTCTTTTATTGCTGAGCAGTATTTCATTGCATGAATATTCCACAATTCGTTAAATGTGACCCCGTTGATGTATATTTAGGTTCTTTCCAGTGGTGCGCCAATGAATAAAGCTACTATCAACATTCTTCTGCAAGTCTTGCTGTGGACATGTTTTATATTTATCTTGGGTATAATAACTAAACACATAAGAGTGAAATAGTATGGGATATGTATGTTTCGCTGTATTAGAAACTATCAAATGATTCTTCAAAGTGGCTGTATGATTTTGCACTCATAGCTGAAAGCTCCAGTTGCTTCACATCATTGCCAAAATCTGACATGGTCAGTCTTTTTTAATTTGAGCATTCTAGTGGGCTTGAAGTGGTATTTCATTGTAAGCATAATTTGCATTTTCTTTATGTGTAATGATGTCGAGTACCTTTTTATCAATTTATTATATTTTCTTTTGTGAAAGATCTGTGAAATATTTTGCTTACTTTCCTTAAATTAGGATGTATCTTTTCTTAATATAGCATAGAAGGAGTGTTTAGTGTACATGATATACTTAATAAAAATACATTGTTTGTCTATATAGGTGTATTATACATGTATACTGATGAAAACAATATGAATGTATTGTTGCTGCATTAGCGAAATGTGATTTTGTACTTAAAGGACATATTCAAAAGAAGAGGTATTAAGATTCTCTAGTTGTAAATGTACATGAAAAACCTCTTCTGTAGTAGTCAACCTGCTTCTAGTGAGTCATCAATGGTCTTACACCTGCAGGGCATTGATGAAAAGATTAACTTTTGGGAAGATTGAAATTGCTTCATACTATGATCCTAAATTTGATACAACATCTCCTATTCTATGCAAAACATTTCCATTTTCTTGAAAGTGTCTTTTCATGAAGTTTAATTTATTACTTTCCTTTTCTTAAGGGGTGTGTGTGTGTCTTGTGTGTGTGTCTTTTCTGTATGTGTGTGTGTGTGTGTGTGTGTGTGCCCTAGCTGAGAAATCCAAAGTTACAAAAATATTATCCATTTTTCAGAAGCTTTATTATTTTATATGTTGTATTAAACCTATGATCACCTCAAATTTGTTTTTTTGTATAACGTGAGATAAGGGTTGAAGTTCATTTTTCTATACTGGCATTCAGTGTCCTAGCATCATTTATTGAAGAGATTTTTATTTCCCATTGAATTGTTTATTTCCTTAGTTGAGAATGGCCTGATCATACATGTGTGAGTCTATTACTAGACACTCTATTCTATCTATTGCTCTATCTGTATAAGCAAACAGTACCATGTTGACTTAGTTACAGTAGCTCTTAATCTTCCAATCAGATATATATTTCACATATGTATTTTTAATTGTGATGTATCCAATTTATTAATTTTTAAATTTTATGCATATTTCTTTGGCATAGTATCATTGTAACCCAAGTTTACAGAACTTTTCTCCTATATTTTAGTATAAAAGTTTTATTGATTTAGTTTTTCCATTTAAGTCTGGGATATATTTAAGTTTTTAGCATGTAGTATGAAATGAGGGTCTAAATGCAACTTCATGCATGTGGATATCCAATATTCACATCATCCTTTGTAAAAAGCAAACAAACAAACAAAACAAACAAACAAAGAAAAAACCTGATCATTTCCCCATTAATTAACATGGTACCTGTTTAGAGTCATCTGACCACAATGGTTTTAATTGCTGAACTTTTATTGAGGTACATTGTTACACAGGTCTATTGTTATATGAGTACCAGAGTATCCTGATTAATGCAGCTTTGTAGCAAACTTTGAAATCACGAACAGCAATATTCCAAATTTGTTCTTTAAAAAAATAATTATTTAGGCTATTCTGAGTGCTTTGCATTTCCATAGGCCTTTTAGGGATATTTTTCAGTGTCTGTAACATAGTCTTCTGGGACTTGATAAGGATTGCATCGAACATATAGATCATCTCTTCATCGAAAAAGACTCCTCCCTTCTCTGGATTTTAGTTCACTGGTCCTCCTTCCTAAAACAGCTCTGTCATGCATTGGAAACATAATTTTGACAATTTGTTCCCCTTATCCTAGTTGATCCAGGAGGAAATCTTTCCTTTTTTAACTGCTATATTGTCCTCATAAGCAGAAGTTGTCCCAGGTTTCCTCTGAAGTATCAAACAACACAGATTAAATGAACACCAGTCCTGGATGCCAGCTCCGCCTGGACCAGACAAGGAAATTGAAAGCACTCTGCATAGATGGTATACTTACTCCTCACAACACCACCAAAACAGGGTAATATTATCATCTGCTTCATACTGATGATTATACTGAGACAGAAGGTAATTTTAAAGAGTCCAAGATCACGGACATAGGAGCAGAGAATCTGGGTTTTCCTTCCTGGCAGTCCAGCTCTAAGATCCTCCCCTAAAAACAACTATAATACAAAAAATGAAACTGAATGAAGTCCAAGGATAGGGCCTGATTTTATCATCTATTAATCTTAAAAAATATTAAGGAGTCAGAAACGAATTGAACAGAGAAAATAAAACTGAATGTTCATATACAGAGAAGTCTAGACTCTACAATGGAAACCACATGTTCTTTAGAGGTTTCTGAGGAATATTTATAAAATTTCTGAATATGTTAACTAAACAATTAATATTGAATATTAACTAGACTCAAGAGAGTAACTTTGACAATGCCATAGCATGAGAGACATGTTTGATAAGTATTCATAATGGGCTGAAAAGCCAGAATGAGAGAAAAGGTGGATGTAAACCAAACCTAGATGCCTCCTGCAGACTCATTGTCTATTTAGAAATTATGGAACAATAATTCCTTGCATCCATGAGGAGTGTGTGTGTGTGTGTGTGTGTGTGTGTGTGTGTGTGTGT